TAAATAAGTTACAGACAATGATGAAGGTTTCTATGTCACAGTATCCTCGCTTATAGATCAGATTCTTTCACATCGTTTTTTTGGGAAGGAGTCAGGCACTTTCGAAAGCAATGCTAACTCTTCAAAATCACTAAACTGATTTTCGGCATATGGCCGTGACAGCAGAAGCAGTTCGATCTCTCTGAATCCCTAGGGAAGAAGGGACAGCAGCTTGAGAGCAAAACCAAAAGCCATGGACAGAATTTACAACAAAATTACATGACACTCTACCCCCATGAGCCCTAAAATACAAGCAGCTGGAGACAATCCACCAATAGCTCCCTACTCCGCATGGCATCAGGGTCTGTGTGAAGGAAGAAGGAAGCCACAGGTTGGCATCTGATGGATCTGAGAACACGAGACCCCAGAAGAGCCTGCAGGTATTCACGAGAAAGCACAGAGGGCCAGCTGGAGACAGCAGCTGCATCAGGGAAGGGTTTCTGCTGTGCAACGCTGAGTGGCTGAAGGGGACTGAAGGGAAGGCCTGAGGGGATGGAAAAGGCAGCACTTAGGAACTTCCCAAAGGGACCGGCCAGGGCTCCCAGGTCAGGGCCATGTGAAGAAAACCTGCTGTGAGGGAGTCAGGATGAGCAGGGTGAGAAGAACAGGAAGGAGAAAACCAGAAACTCTAGGGCGAAGCAGGCGAGAGGGACAGAGACAGGAAATCCCACCACAGTTTCGAACACTCCCCCAAAAGTACAAATCTATGAAGAGAGAAAAACTTTCCTAAACTCTGCCTCATTTAAAAAACTCAGGGGAAATAATTTCTTCTTTTTGTTTAAGATTTTTCTCCGGGAATTGGGGGAAGGGAACAGCGTTGGGGAATCGGGGAAGGGGACAGACAAGCTGCTGTCCTTTTTGGTTCTTCAGCCTAGTTGTGGAGGACGTCGCTTCACTGGCCCGTGGTGGTATCACTGTGCTCTTCCTGGATGAGGCAGATCTGTCACCACCTACTGCACAGTGGCTCACACTGGCTGCCTGCCGCTCACGGTAGCTTATGGCAGCCCACTGCAGCCTACGCCATCACCGGCGACTCATGGCAGCCCAGCTCCAGGTCGAGCTGTTGTTCA